GAAGCCATGACGTCAAACTCGACGCGCCTGTCTGGGTCCTTTTTGTGGAACAGCACAACAGTAAACAAAGCGTCGAGATGGATGTAGAATAGGGATGTCCACATTTTTTAATCAAGGGCAACATATTTAAACACAGATGAAGCAGAGGGCTGATCGAGGGTCATAGACTGGTGCTCAGTACAGTGAATAATTGAAATATGTGCATGTTTAACACGTTAGAATGAACCATCAGTCCTTTACTCACGCTAAGATCCTTAAAACCACACAATAAATATTAAATATTAGCTTTATTAAAGTAGATTTTCAAAAACCTTGGAGTAAAAAGTTAATTGATGCAAGGTAATTTGGGCCACTTCACCTGAAAGCCTGAGGGTCAAGAAAAATGTATTTGGATTAGTTAGTTTAGACATGCCTGATGCAGACGAAGACAGACATTCTGTGTTGGCAACGATTTAGAGGATTTAGAGCTGAAACAAAGAGAATGTTTGGTGAATTTTATCAAGTGGAAAGACGTTATTGTCCTTCTTCCTACGGGATTTGGTGCATTACATACGTCATGACCAAATAGCAGCGACTGGTTAAATAAAAAAGTACCACCTACTGTCAAGCGAATGAATCCTAGTGCTGCAAGGTCATACAGTTTCCACGAAGTGAAACCGGCTGATGAATCAGGCTAGTATTTGACGGCCCCTCCACCAGAAAAGTTACACAGTGCACCTTTAAGTTAAATTGTCTTACTTTCTGATTCATGGCTAATTGTTTTGACTGGAGTGTAGTTAAATGGCATTGATTAAAAGTCTGTCTTATCTCTGTTCACTTCGTGGAAACTGTCTGATGAATCGGGCTAAATATCTACATCATGAAATCGATTTTTAATTTCAATTGTAAAATCTGTCTAAGTTACTTAATAACAAATTACTTTTTACTTATGTTTTATTTATGACCATAACGTTAGTTTTGCTCAGTAGTTCACTAATGCGTCGTCGTTGTTCGCCTTTACATTTTCGTCTTTCTTACTTTGATAGTTGTGGATAAATTCTTCATGTTAGAATATTTATCCTTTGTGGACCTTGTTGGTTGAAGATTTGGTGACGGGGCAGATTTACGAAGCTGGTGGGAAATACGCCAGACATTTACACAGATATTTTGGCCATTAACGAATCCTAATGCTGCGGGGTCAGACGGTTTCCACGAAATGAACCCGTCTGATGAATCGGGCTACTTGAACACAACCTACACGTGTTCATTATTGCTCTTGCTCTGATCTTATTGTTTAAAACTAATTTACTCTTGTCAAATGTCCCATCTTATATTAATTCAAGTTGAATTACCCGAGCTGATCGCGGCTGCAGAGATGAGACGCGGTGGTGTTTATTTGCTGGTATGAGAAGCCGAGTCACGTTTTATTACACAGACTCTTCGTCAACATTGATTTTGTGTCATGGGGGACTGAAAATATGCTCTCAGCTAAAGTTGTTAATGGTCCCCGCAGATGTTATATGGACACACTTGCCTTCAGTAAACTTTGCTTTTTTTTGTTCTTTTTAATGGTGTTTCGGGGCAATCATTTCTAATAAAGTAGATTTCATAACTCAAATTCTTTTAGTTTTATCTCAGCGGGAATAGGTGATTTTGTTAGTTTTATATGAAATTATAGGTTTTCTTTGAAGCAACAAAAATATGTGAAGAATTAGCGATATAATTTGGTTTATTTTATTGTGAAAAATGCCTTATCGTTGAGTTAATATTTGTCCAACATTTTAAACTCTAATCTAAACCTCAAACTATAGACGTCAAGTTAAAGCTGCATGGTGTAACTTTTGTGGCAGAGGGTTCAACTTCATGCTTGTCGCCATGGAGATGTTTTTGCTTTACCTCGAATTCTCCACAGTATGGCTTTAAATTATACACGATATTGTGCCTGTATTCAGTTACGGTTGTTTTTGTAGCTCAGAAATACAATGAAAACACGGGATTGTTCGTGAGCAGTGTCGCCTTTCCACAGACCTGACCCGTAACTGTACCTAATGACAGCACCTACTCGTCCACAAGTTTAATGCCAAACCAATAACATTTCCATGGTGACAGGCAGGCGCAGACCTACCCGCGAATTCATATTTCACAGTTTACGTCGCGCAGATCAGATATTTTTTGTTGTTCCGAGAGTCAAAAAAACAATCAATTAATCAACAACTTTATTAATCCCAAAGGGCAATTCAGTTCGCACATCTCCGGTCGTGCACAAACTATGAATAGTAAAAAGAAAAGAAAAACAAACGCTGTACATTCAAACAATAGCAAATTTACTTTCCGTTTAAAAGTTTTATGGCAGATGAAATAAAAGATTTGGCGTAGCGTTTGGTCTATTGTTGTGAAGTGACATAGCGCCTCCCAGAGGACATTTGCACGAACTGTGAGTGCAGTGCATGGTCAGGTTGGCTCAGTTTGGCCTTAGTCTTTTGGAGCACCTGATGTCTCCACAAAGAGGCCAAATCCTCCTTCTGAACACCACGGATTTTGTCGCACACTTTTACACACAATTCTGACTTGAACCATTTGAAACTATATGGACAGAGCACTTGAACAGGCCAGGCAATTTCATTTCTCTCCAGCGACTAGGTCAGGAATCAGAATACACTAGACCAGGGGTGTCAAACTCATTTTGGTCCGGGGGCCGTATCCAACCAACTTTGATCCCAAAGGGGCCGGATCAGAAAACTCATGGCATATAAACCCCAAAAATAACAATAAGTTAAAATATTCGTGCAGAGAAACGCATTATTTTAATTGATGAACTCTTTCTTTTACAAAATATTATAATATTATGAACAACCTGAAACTTTAAGAAAAATACAATTTCAACACAATGTTTTAACATGAACTTGTTTAAACTTAACTTGTATAAATAGGAATAAGTAAATTTTTCTTGGAAAATCCTGCACTCGGCTCCACTTTTCTCATGTTGGACATTTTTCTGATGAGGGTGTCACGGTCAACAGTCAAAACGATCGTCCTTTAAGAGCGTTTGGAAAGAGACAAGTCTTCATTTGTGCTGCTCTGGTGGGAGGGGCCACGTACAGAGACGCTGGAGACGCTGCTGTGATAAACACCACAGAAAATTAACAATATTTTAATAAAAAATAGAATTAAAATATTTTAGTAGAAAATCAGCCGAGGGCCAGATTAATCTCTAACCAGATCTCTGGTTCAGACTGTTCTTGTCCTTCACAGATAATCCATAAAACCAATAAATAAAAGAAAAGGTCGGCAAACTTTCGATAAAGGAATGATAAAAAAGTATCTAAAATGTTAGGCGACACATTAAAAGAGCTGAGTTTCTGCGTCAAGTGAACCCACTGCTGTCCTCGTTTGATAATTTGCTCAGTGTTCTTATCAAACCTTAGGGAGGAATCAAACACAGTTCCCAAATACTTAAAGGAGTCCACCATTTCTACTGCTTCCCCGTGTATGGAGCTGTTGGGCTGTAAACTTTTCCGGAAGTTTAGTTTTAGTTTAGTTTTAGCCACATTTAGGTCCAGGTAGTTATTATCACACAATTCAGTGAAAGCAGGTAGAGCTTGGCCGTGGTCTGAGTTTGCTCCCTGCAGGAGAGAGAGGAGGGCAGTATCATATGAAAACTTAATAATGTAACAAAACAAAAACAAATTGGAAAACAGTAATTTAAATATAAAGCTCTCTTTGATTGGAACGATCTTCACTCACCGATTCGCAGATTAACTTCTGTCCCTTCATTTAAAAACACTCTGGTGTAATATTTACATCATCCGTGTCATTGTTTTTGATCATTTTGCTGAATTTTGTTGTTCATCTTGTTGTATTTTGTGACTATATTTGAAACTCTGTCTTAGTTTTTGTTTAAATTTCACTTAGGTTACGTTTACACTAAAATGAATCACCGTATCACCGTATCGGAAACAATTTGCGTCCAGACACGTTGTTTCTGTGTCCGCAATCCTTCCATATCCACACAGCTTTGAGCATATTTTTTTTTACATTTTACAGAAACTAAACTTAAAACCACATGGATAATTTACATAAACTAAGAGCTCAAAAACTAGCTCCCTCCATGTGTCCTGACGCGGTTCAGCTTCTGTCGGACTTAAAAAGGACACGACTCAGTGGAATATGAGTGTTCTTTCTGTGACAGAGGGGTGTTCTGCTGATGGTGAGTCTGTTCTGTGTTTCTGTCGTGTTGGAGATGGTTCATGTGAAACTTTTCAGAGATTATACGTCTGCAGGTCGTACACACAGACACACGTTTATATGAATAGACATATATTCTTGCCTCTTAGCGTTTTGGCGGTGAATTACTTCGCGGCGCACAGACCTACATCAGAGTATCAGTGTTTTCAGGCGTCCACACGGTGCCGGATCAGATCTGTACTCAGATGAATTTGTGGGAGCTGATGGCACCAGATCGTCCGTTTTCCATCAGATTAGTGTGAATGAACACTGCATCCGCAACGAAAATGGCTCAAATACGAACTAGTGTGGACGGGGCCTTATTCCGTGTCTAACAGTCATGTGTGTGTGAGTGAGTGTGTATGGTTGTGTTGATTTTGTTGTTGTATTTTATTGTTTTGTTTTTTCTGTGTTTATTTGAATGTATCTGTTGTTGTAACTATGAGGACTTCCTTGAAAATGAAATGACATCTCACTTGGGCTTATACTCCAAACAAATCAGCTTAAATTTAAATATAGTGCCCCTTTAAATGTAGTTTTCAATTTTTTACCAAATGAATCAGTCAATTAAATCTGTCGTAATGTAAAATGTATTCGTGCATTTCAGCTTCTTGTTACAGGTGACATTTTGAGGACCTTTCAACATTCAAATATACAGTACTTTGTTTTAAATTGTTAGTACCTATGGCAACGGTGCATTTTTTCCTAGGTCTACACAGCCTATGTTTTAATGTTTGTGTTTAATCTTCTGGTGTTGTGGGTGTAACAGATTGTCACAGATCTCCTCTGGTCCTCAGGTTACCGGGCCCCTCCTCCAGAGTCCCTGCTGCGGGCAGTGGGGCCTCCAGGAGCCCCTCCAACCTCAACCGCCGCAGCCTGAGCTTCAACAGCATCGACAAGAGCAAACCTCTGCAGTATGCCAGCGGGAACGAGAGAGGTACCTGAACGCACCACGCAACACACATGAGGTCCCTGAACGCACCACCATACACAACAAACAAACAAATAAACCTCTGCAGTATGCCGGCGGGAACGAGAGAGGTACCTGAATGCACCACCACACACAACGCTATACACACACACACACAAAGCACCTGAATGCACCACCACACGCAACAAACAAACCTCTGCAGTATGCCAGTGGGAAGGAGAGAGGTACCTGAATGCACCACCACACAAACACTACACACAGGAGGTATTTGAACGCACCATCACCGTACACAACACTATAACCACAGAGCAAACCTCTGCAGTACGCCAGCGAGAACGAGAGAGGTACCTGAATGCATCTCTGCATAAACACTGGGGTGCATCATTTTCCCCAGTGTCAGAAATTCAACTTGTACCCAATTTTAAAATGTGACAATACCAATTCAAAGAAAATTTGTGGAATATTTGCTCAGTTGAAAAATATCTACTGGGTCCACCAAGTCTCTTAAATTCCATCCTAACAGTGTCCAAAAGGCTCTGGCAGCAATCTGTTTTTTTGTTGTATAACTTTAAAAATAATGATTTTTTTTTTATATAATATTTTTTATTACTATTCATTTTTATATATATTTTTTTAAATAATCAGTTCATGGTCCTTGAAGTCCCAAAGAAATAACACTTGTGCCATATCTCAGAAACTAATGATGATAGAGACATAAAACTGGTTCCAAATGATCCACAAAGTTCATATTTATATTCAACTTCCATTGATACTATAGGGCTAAATTTTGATGTTATTAAAGAAAAACAGATTTTTCAGCTCAGATTTAAGGCTTCTGCAGGCACTAAACTTCAGAGGCTTGGTGGACTGAGTAAACATCAATAGAATTTCATGAAATTTCTCATGGAATTTTACTTTGGCAGGTGTAAAAAATGATACTAGGTACAGATTGATATTCCATACACATCACCATACACAACACTATACCCACAGATCAAAACTCTTCAGTTTACCACGAACAAGATAGGTACCTGAACACATCACCATACAAACTCTATGAGGAACATATCACTGTATAAACATTTCAGGTATCTCAATGTGTCACTATATAAACACAACACTGTACAAACAAGGTACATGAACACATCACTGTACAAACTCTTGAAATAGAGAACAACTGAGGTTCCTGAAAGTGCAATTCCTTTATATTTTTAAAGCCCATATATATATATATATATCTGAATGATTATTTATCTTTTATTATCTCATAATATTTTGTACTATTTTTGATTCATTCTGATTCTACTGTTGCTGTTTTTGTATTTTACTACAATTTCCTCACTGTAGGAAACATAAAGATGTAGTTATTTTTTTGAAAAACACTAAATTCACCTCTAGTTATTAAGATGTACTTGAATGCATCACGCTACACATGTAGGGAATGAATGAAGTACCTGAACGCATCATATAAACATATACTGTATCTCTAATCCCTGCAGAATGTCTGGAATGACAGTAACACAAACCTGCCTGTTTTAAAACACTGGGAGTGATTCTGTGGTCAGTCGTGTCTTTACCACCAGGGGGCAGTACTGTCCCAGAATGTCCGAGGAGCTTTGTGCTGAATCATGCCAAGCTCTTACTCACCGTCTCCCACGGTAACCACAGCTCCGATGGAGGAGGAGGAGGAGGAGGAGGAGGAGGAGGCTGTAGTCTCAGGCTGTCGGCCTCTGTGTGTTTTGTGATTTTTTGCTCTTGGGTTTCAACTTGTTTTATGCATTTTCTAGTACATTTTGAGGACTTTTTTCATTCAAAAGATCTAATATTTTGTTTTGAATTGTTAATCACTATTGTAACATTCATCGTTTTTACAAAGGATTAGCTTTGTACGTTTTCATTTATGAGTTTTCATAATACAATACAAGTTTTTTGGGTTAGTAATAGTAATAATATGAATCAATTTAAAGGTACAGTCGGCCTTTTTGTACATGATTGTTTATACATTCATTTAAAATTAAAGGTGCTCTGTGTAACATTTCTGATAAAAGGTTAAGGTTAAGGTGCACTATATTGTCCCTGTAGAGCAGACATGTCAAACTCAGGCCCAGGGACCAAATTTGGCCCGCGACATAATTATATTTGACCCACGAGATCATATTAAAGTCAGTATTAGAGCTGCCCGCCGGCTACAGACAGACTATAGAGACATTATTTATTTAAAATGTTGTTATTATTTTATATTTTGCTTGTTCTGGATTCACTGTTTAAGCAGAACTGTCAGTGTCTCTGGGTTTAACGTGTCAGGACCCATCTCCAGATATTGACCTTGTCTTGGTCAGAACTTCTTTAGCAGGAGGATTTGATCTGTTGTTCACGTTTTGGATTCACACGTCATCTGCTTGTCTCCAAAAAATAAAATCTAGTCAAGTTCAGATGACTTGAATTAAGAAAGTTTGATCATGATTTGAGTAAATTTCACTTGACAAGTAAAATGATCTGCCAGTGGAGTAAGACTTTTTTGTTCTTAAAATATGAAAATACATCTTTCGACACTTAAAATAAGAAAAACAACAACTTTTTGCACTTAAAATAAGAAACAAAATTGAGTATTGCTTGGTTTAAGAAGAACACTTATTCCATTGGTCGATAACTTTAATCGTCAAGTTGAATCTACTCAAATAAAGTCAAATGTTCTTAATTTAAGTCATTTTAACTTACCTAGCGGTCCCTGTCTGGGACCAACGGATTGTCGGCGTGTTCGCAGTGACTCAGTTGTTCAGTCGTGTCTAGAAGTGGCACATTGCACTCGCTTTTTCGGTTCGTTCCTCCGTTCCGTTCCTCGTCGGCGTGGAGTGATGAGTGTGTCTGTGGGTGTTTTTCTCTGTGCGGTCGCTGTCTGCTCCGTGTGTGTTTGTGTGTTCTGCGGGTGGTGCGGCTTTGTAGTTTACTGAAGTCGTGCTGGGACACCCGAGTGGATTCGTGTATGGGGCGCTCTGGATTGTGGCGCACAGTCATTTTTTGATGCGGTTAGAGGCTTAAGAGCGCGTCTAATAGCCCGGAAAATACAGTACATAGATTGGCATATGTTAGTGTATAAGTATAAGTGTATAAGTGTTCAGACCCTCCCCTATTCTGTCTCGTAGGCGTCCAAAGTCCATAACAACATGTCCCAACCCCATTGACACTTCAAAGTCCAGACATAACACGTCATGTCAAAGGACACTGAACAACTTCTATATTGCATGATGAATTAACATGAATGAAACATTAAAAACACAGAGAATAATTTTCCAATTCCCACATATGTTAACAGTTGTTCAGATAATTATCGCATAAACAACAGAACATAAGTTTACCAAACTCTCCATCTCACTCCAAATCACTAAATCCATTGAATCCGTTGAATTCTTCATCCTCAGTGTCACTTCTGAGCAACTCCACGCAATTTCGGTTGTCACTGAAGTTCAGGCTTTGTTGATCCATTCAGTTCAGGGGTGTTCAATACATCGATCCGATCTACCAGTCGATCGCCAAGGTCGTGTGGGTAGATCGTCGTGTCTCATCTCGGACTCGCGTTTGGACTCGGTCTTGTCTCTCACTCGAGGTCTGACACTCAACAAGTGTGATCATATTTCATTCCGGCCGCTGCTGTTGGTAATAAACTTGTAGCGGGTGCAGGAGCGTGTGGGGCGTCTCAGTGCAGCCTGTGCGCTCATTTGAAACCCGCGGAGACTCTACGGCGCATCACAAACACACACGCTCCCTATGCACGGCTCGTCTGCGACAGCGTGTGCCCTCGTGTACCAGCGTGCATCACAGGGCAGGTTCAACTTCCTAAACATCCTACCTGTCCATCTGCCTCACGTCAGCACGCCGCCCCTCGCCTTTTCACGCTCTCGCTCCTTCCTGCGTACAGCCAACACAAGCCCCTCCCACAGAAGCAAAAACGAGTCTAAATTTGTGTTCCAGTGTTGGCACAAAGCAGGTCTACAGCATAGAGCGGATCTACAGAACAGACCTACTGCCACATTTGGCTGAAGTTTGTCTAACAAAAGTGCACAAATGCATCTGTGTTTGTCACGATGTGCGTTTGGTTTGGTAAACGTGCAGAGGCTGGTAAATATCACTGCAAAACCAGAAAAGAATGAAACTCCAGTTTGGAACTTTAAAAAAACAGGTTTAAAAATCTTCCTTCACTTTTTTCACAGTTTTGTGTAAAGTGCCAGAGGAAGTTCTCTTAAAGAAGAGGTTCTCAAACTGTGGGTGAGGGTCCAAAAAAGGGGCACAGAGTGTTTCAGTGCAGTTTGCTTGATTTTATATTAGGTAGATCATTATGACTTGGTCATTTTGTAAGTAGTTTGCAGGCTGAAAAAGTGTGAGCACCTCTGATTCACTGACTTCCAGGAAAGTTTCATGGTGCATCCTCCCAGTTACCGTGAATCTGTGTTCTCCATTCCCACTTTCCGTCAGTCCCTCACAAGTTTCTCGCTCACTCCAAACTTTCTTTCTGCTGCTTGATTACTGTTTTCGGCTGAATATTTCACTACTTGCAGCAGGACAGTGGCTTTTTCTGCAGGAGACGTGAGTAGAAAACTGGCACACAAGTCTAGAGCGCCCTCTCGTGGCCCGTGAGTCTGAAAACTTTTATATCGCTCTGGAGTAGAAGTCGCAGGAAACACCCAAACCATGAAAAAAAGTGAGACGGTAATGCTGCACTGTGGAACATTCCAGGCAAAGCAGATTTTACCACAAGTAGTCTATGGATCAGAACTCTAAATTTCAGATTTGTGTCACTCAGGTTGGCAGGGTTTTTATCACAGTTATTTTTAAAAAGTTCCATATATGAGCTTTATATTTTGGCGTGACAGACTTTTTTTTTTTTTTTTTTTTTTTTTTTTTTGAGTTTCCGCAGAATCACAGTTTCTCCTTTTGCGTTAACTGTATTTTTATCCCGTGTTTAATGTTTTATCTTCACACCACTTCCTCCCGGAGACATTTTTTTGCAG